GAACAGCTTGCGTCAACAAATCAAATTAGTGGATTCCAACACTTATATAGTTATAAATAATAATTGGTGGTGATTGCTGATGCGTGTGAAACGCTGAATGATTTACCAGTTTACTTACTGACTGATATCGTTTTTGTTGTTAACAATTAGGTTTAAAAAGACAACCTTGCAGTTATAATCAAGGCAATTAACGCGAAAAGACCGAAGCGCAACGTTTATTATTCTAATTAGAGATAGTCGGTTTGTATTCGACACCAGTAGCACTTTTTTAGAATCTGGCCGGGTACCAGATAATGTCTAGCGAAAAAAGAAAAAACAACACATCATTATCATCATAAGGTCGTCAGTCCTAAGACTGGTTGGACACGCATCTCCACTCGTTCCTATCCTGAGCTAATCTTCGCATTTCCCTAAAACTAGAACAACCCACATCCTTAACTATTTGTGAACAGTAATCTAATCTAGGTCTGTCTCTACCCCTCCTAACTCCCGTTTCTTCCTCTAATATACTTTGCAACCCCAGCCCTATAACTGCCTGTTGCTTTTTATACAAACTAATTATCACTCTTCTCATCATCATCATAAGGTCATCAGTCCTACGACTGGTTGAACACGTACCTCCACTCTTTCCTATCCTGAGCTAAACTTCGCATTTCCCTAAAACTAGAACAGCCCACATCCTTAACTATTTGCGAAGAGTAATCTAATCTAGGTCTACGTCTACTCTTCTATCTTTGTAAAAACCAACACCACCAATAATTTAATAAGCATAGCATAAATACCTACCTAATGTATTTCCATGTTTCTGGTCACAATCTTTTTCTTATATTACTGTACAAGTGGGTACTTTTCAGTTGTAGAAAATAGTATTTTATCTCCTTGCAACTTAATAATGATGAGCTTCGCGTGGATTGGTTTGAAGAATATCGATCAAGCCTGACGAACCCTTGCTTTTTGACGTCTTCATATTGCCAGATTAGACTTTAAAATCTAACAAAAGACATCGTCGTTAAATATTCATGAATATTCTTGCACAAAGGGGCCCGCTAGAAAAGTCAACGTTGTTTTCAAGATATTACACCCTTTATTAATTTTTACCTGAAGGTAAATCAAGAATGAATTACACCATACGCTTTGTCATACTGATTCTCTAATATTAACTTGAAAAGATATTTATGAAAGTAATTAAAAAACACATTGTACCATCATTTTTGTCGCGTCGAAAAATTGTATTATCTAAAGCTTTAAAAGATTGTTATACAAATCAAAATAGAGCCAATAAGTACCAGTTAAGCTCCTCTTTAAGTGTTGATTAATAATAATAAGTATTAGTTTGTGCCACCATTATTTACACTTAATATTAATTTCTATTCAAAATCACTTAATGATGAAGGAGTGCTTGCACTACTTAAAAATAACTTTCGGTTCTTCTTACCATTATTATTATTATTATTATTAGTACAATTAATATGAACTATAAAAGCTCACTTAAAAGCTCGTTAAACTTATTCCAGAGTTAGACGCATTACTTATTTGCAGTTTCCTTGGCCTGCATTTTATGATTAATAATAATTAAAACGTAAATATGCTTCTGTACTCATTCATTTGTTAATTTTTTATATTGTTGATTTATAGCCGACATATTTAATAAATCATTGAGGAAACCGATTTTATTTATGATTGTTAGTTTTCTCTATGAGAATAAAATAAAACTTTTAAAATTTATTATAACCACTATAATTATTTCGACACACTGTGCCTTCTTTAGGTGGTGTCATCATATAATTCTATATATAATTATAGTGGTTATAATAAATTATTTGTAAACTCCAAGTGTTTTTATTTTATTATTTTAAATATGGA